ATTTTCATCGACACACACACACACACACACTATAGACACAAACACATACTACACACAAACACACATACTACACACGCACACACATACTACACACACACACACACACACACACACACACACATATGCATCAGCTAGAAACAAAGTTTTGATACAGAACAATTTGTAATGATATATAAAATAAATTCACATTTATTGCCTAAAAAAATGACCCTTGTCACACTTGATCAATTTATTTACATTTTCCTAATATAGGTGAGAGTAAATAGACTTGTTTCCGTACCTTAAAGCCTGATGGGCATATAGGGCTTGCCCTATATTTTTTTAACCAATCGGCACTCGGTGGTTAATGTAGTCAACATCACGCCGGTCGCCTTTACTTCCCAGGACTATACCTGGTACCCATTTAAGGCTGAGCCGACCTGAAGCCAAGGTCATGTGGGTGACAATAGTTCTTTTTTAATTATTTGAGTTTTGTTTTAAATCTGGCAACAGATAAACTGTTTTCCCGTACAATGTGGTGGGAAGTTGGATTTGGAGGTGGCATTTTTCTGGACACGAATCACAGTTAAGAACAAATAAAGTTGCTAACTGCCGGTCTCACTGTCTAGTGCTGGGATCCACCGGGTCCCACTGTCTAGTGTTGGGATCCACTGGGTCCCACTGTCTAGTGTTGGGATCCACCGAGTCCCACTGTCTAGTGTTAGGATCCACCGAGTCCCACTGTCTAGTGCTGGGATCCACCGGGTCCCACTGTCTAGTGTTGGGATCCACCGGGTCCCACTGTCTAATGTTGGAATCCACCGGGTCCCACTGTCTAGTGTTGGGATCCACCGGGTCCCACTGCTATCTAGTGCTGGGATCCACCGGGTCCCACTGTTTAGTGTTGGGATCCACCGGGTCCCACTGCTGTCTAGTGCTGGGATCCACCGGATCCCACTGTCTAGTGTTGGGATCCACCAGGTCCCACTGTCTTGTGTTTAGATCCACCGGGTCCCACTGTTATCTAGTGCTGGGATCCACTGGATCCCACTGTTTAGTGTTGGGATCCACCGGGTCCCACTGCTGTCTAGTGCTTGGATCCACCGGGTCCCACTGTCTAGTGTTGGGCTCCACTGGGTCCCACTGTCTAGTGTTGGGATCCACCGGGTCCCACTGTATAGTGTTGGAATCCACCAGATCCCACTGTTTAGTGTTGTGATCCACCGGGTCCCACTGTCTAGTGCTGGGATCCACAGGGTCCCACTGACTAGTGCTGGGATTCACCGGGTCCCACTGTCTAGTTCTGGAATTCATCGGGTCCCACTGTCTGGTGTTGGGATCCACCGGGTCTCGCTTAGATGTCTCGATCTTTGTAGAACATGTTCTCGAGACGTCTGGGATCAGTTGACAGCTAGAGTGCGATCTAGTCATTCTAACTGCCTACGGTGTATTCTAGAACATGTGAAAGCCTAAGGATTTACACTCAAACGACAATGATTGCAGCAGGATTGCCTTTACCTCCTGTTCATGTATTTGGGCACTGTTGGATTGTTTGTTAGTCGGAGTACACAAAACATCCTCACTAAACCGCCCTGATGCCCATTAATCCCCCAGACGTACCTTCCATTCTTCTAATTCCCCGCTTCATTCTCTTGAGACCATTACACTCAAACTACCCTTAGACTTTCTAACTCCACAATGTCGACTTGAGCACACCCGGATCTGTGACAGATCCTTCATCGAACACTTGCATAATTAAGTATTGATTAACTGTTATAGTCGAGCTAAACGTGCATTAAGAGATACAATAGACTTTAAAGCCCAGAGAAAGACATTGCACCCAGCATGGAACCATATCCCTCCCCTGCCACAGTCAACAAGTGACAAGTTCAACCCATTTAATTTCACATCATCACTGCCTTCTTAGAATGGCCATATTCTGTTTTCTGTCTCGTCTCTATTATTTCATAGTTCACACAGTTTGTTTTCTTTGTCTGTTTGTTTTCATTGCCATTGCCTGTCTGTCTGTTGCATTAGCCATTTTGTGTGTGTCAATGTGTGTGTGTGTGTGTGTGTGTGTGTGTGTCAATGTGTGTGTGTGTGTGTGTGTGTATGTATTTACACAAGTTGGAGTTTAATTTAGTCGTACCATTATTAACGAACGGACAGACGCACACACATGAGACATCACAAACAAACAAATATCACTTTTGAAACCGTTTGTGCGGTCTGTCTGTCTGTCTGTCTGTCTGTCTGTCTGTCTGTCTGTCTGTCTGTCTGTCTGTCTGTCTGTCTGTCTGTCTGTCTGTCTGTCTGTCTGTCTGTCTGTCTGTCTGTCTGTCTGTCTGTCTGTCTGTCTGTCTGTCTGTCTCTCTGTCTGTCTGTCTGTCTGTCTGTCTCTCTCTCTCTCTTTCTCTCTCTCTCTCTCTCTCTCTCTCTCTCTCTCTCTCTCTCTCTCTCTCTCTCTCTCTCTCTCTCTCTCTCTCTTCTCTCTTCTCTCTCTCTCTCTCTCTTTCTCTCTCTCTCTCTCTCTCTCTCTCTCTCTCTCTCTCTCTCTCTCTCTCTCTCTCTCTCTCTCTCTCTCTCTCTCTCTCTCTCTCTCTCTCTCTCTCTTTCTCTAATACGCAAAAACAAACACAAATGCTCTCACTCTTCTCTTTGTGTGTGTGAGTTTGTGTATGTATGTGTGTGTGTATGTGTATAAGCGAGTTTGTGTATGTATGTGTGTGTGTATGTGTATAAGCGAGTTTGTGTATGTATGTGTGTGTGTATGTGTATAAGCGAGTTTGTGTATGTATGTGTGTGTGTATGTGTATAAGCGAGTTTGTGTATGTATGTGTGTGTGTATGTGTATAAGCGAGTTTGTGTATGTATATGTGTGTGTGTATGTGTATAAGCGAGTTTGTGTATGTATATGTATGTGTGTATGTGCTTGAGGGAATACGAGTGCAGGACAAGTGAAACATCTGGGGAAAAGCTACAGGCGAACCACAACTTCAAGAACAGTGATATGACACACCATAAATAAAACACAGAAAAGAAAGAAAAGAGATGAGACAGAAAAATCAAAGACACAAGAGATAAACAGAGAAATGAAAGACACAAGAAATAAACAGAGAAATGAAAGACACAAGAGATAAACAGAGAAATGAAAGACACAAGAGATATACAGATAAATGAAAGACAAAAGACATAAACAGAGAAATGAAAGATACAAGAGATAAACAGAGAAATGAAAGACACAAGAGATAAATAGAGAAATGAGAGACACTAGAGATAAACAGAAAAATGAAAGACGCAAGAGATAAACAGAGAAATGAAAGACGCAAGAGATAAACATATAAATAAAAGACACCGGAGAAAAACAGAAAAATGAAAGACGCAAGAGATAAACAGAGAAATAGAAGACACACAAGATAAACAGAGAAATGAAAGACACAATAAATGAAATAGAGAAATGAACCTAAAGTGGAATACACGTTGGTAAGAGAGACAAGGAAAGGTAGAGAAAGACGCTAGTGGAAAGTTGAAATAGGCAACAAACAGTAATTTATGCACAGTGAAATTTGCAACTGAGTGAACAATATAAAACGTGAAATAAACCTAGAGAAAATGAGAACCGATACGGGGTCGAATTAGAAGTCACAAAGGCAGACAAGTGGAGTTAACACTGAAGAGCGAATTAGAAACATAAGGAAAGAGTTAGAATGAAAATGAAGACACGAATGGGGAAAAAACGTATCTACATATCCTAGAGGTTTCTATCTCATTTTCACACCCAAACTTCCCTTGTCAGCGAGCCTTGCGCGCCATCTAATCTTTCATTTCTGCATTCATCGGCCGGCATTCTCATGTTCAAAGACAGAAGGATTAGGACATAAAAACTGGAGCTAATGCGTAATTCAATTTGCTGGAGTCTTTCTGACAATATAGCGTTCATTTTGTGCTGACTGTGAGGCGTTTGGTATGTCTGAGGCTGACTGTGAGACGTTTGGTATGTCTGAGGCTGACTGTTGTGGCTAAACCCCACGATGAGGAGGTCTCTAGTCTGGTTTTCAGCTTGGATGCATAATTATTGTTTAGGGGGAAATAAAGAGAAAAGGGGACGAGAAAGAAAATCCACACGTTGGATAACTGTGAGGTCACCACAGTAAAGGGATCGTTGGGTGTGTGAATATCGATCTTTACAGCTAGTAACTGAGTAACCGTTGGAAGAATGACAACTACAGAGAAACAGAGGAAAGAAATAGAGATCAGAGATTTAAACAACAACATCGCTGGGAAACCTGGAGGCAACTGAAGCATGAGTTCACGCACTTCCAGACGTGGCTGGGGATAAGGGGCTGGGGGGGGGGGGGGGCTGTCTTACATAGAAGTGCATGCACCTCGACAGCAAGCTAGTCTCACTTGGAGGTGTTTCCGGAGTGTGGGGTTCCGGACCAGGGGGAGAGCAGACACGCTACCACCATAGCAAGCATGTCGTAGAAGTCGACTGTTTCCGTTAATCGAAGTGCATTTGCGTGAGAGGCGAGAAACCAGCAGTATGCATTCAAATCAGACATATCTGTATAACGTCTGTGCACGTAAATATCAAGTTTGAAACCAGGCTTTCCGCCGGAGTTTATAACCAGTGAACGCTAAGAAGAAAAGGAATAAGGTTTGGAGGTGACCGGTGTGGGTTCGGATCTCGGGCTGACAACTAAAGCTATAAAGGTTTATGCCACTCTATCTGTGGACTAGCTCTCTGTCATCCATATCTATGCCACACTGTCTGTGGACTAACTCTCTGTCATCCATATCTATGCCACTCTGTCTGTGGACTTGCTCTCTGTCATCTATATCTATGCCACTCTGTCTGTGGACTAGCTCTCTGTCATCCATATCTATGCCACTCTATCTGTGGACTAACTCTCTGTCATCTATATCTATGCCACTCTATCTGTGGACTAACACTCTGTCATCCATATCTATGCCACTCTATCTGTGGACTAACTCTATACTACAAAAACAGCTGTACTCACTTGAGAGGGTGCCAGTTATTTCCAAAGTTACTATTCCATGTCATTCCTCCTTCTTCACACTTCCCAGAGCGATACACCGCAGTCATACAGGCCTCCCACATCTTGCCATGACACACTTTAGATATCTGTTTCTAAAGCTACATCTTCCCCTTTCTAATTCTCAGATTCCGGTATACATCCACACTAGGATCGCCGCGTGTCGTCTTTGTGCCTTTCTGGTTCATACCGAATCTTCCCCGGTAACCACAATTTCTTTTCTTTCCAACCGCAGTTGAGCCACATTCCCCTGCTTGTTGGTCTGGCTGTTCGCCTTGCCTGAATAACATCTTCAACAAACGCTTGGCCTCTCTTCCACGTAACTTATTAGTCATAATTCTTTACAAGATCTGACCGCCTACCGTAACAATCCTATATTTCTCTCGACGTAACTGGTTTGTCATTATCACAGATAAGATACCACCGCCTACCGTAACAATCATCCATTTCTCTCCACGCAACTCGTTAACCATTATCACATAAAAGATCTCACCGCCTACCGTAATAATTCTCATTCTTACAAAGCGGGAGGGAAACAATAAATTATCCCCGAGGATTTGGTGCAATCTGTAATTTGTCTCTTAGTTTCCCGTGTAACCTTTCTCCCTACACAGGTTTATCATGTATTTTCTTATTAATCATAGTGAAAATCATTCTTCTTTTATGGTTTTATTCAGAAAGTCTGGAGGTAAAGGTCACAAAAGAGACATGGGAAGATAACTCCTTTGTTATACGGATATTGTTGCCCTTGAATGCGCGTATACGAGGGGAGATAACCACCGAGAAGGGGGTTACATTTGGGTATTATCTATGCAGAATAGTTTGTTCTGTGGAACGTTTCTTCCAGTGCGTGTTGTTCAGTCAGTCTCTCTGTTCCAAGTTGCCATCTTTATACCAGGAACGAACACGTTGGATTGGACACTGAGGCGATCAGTCGTCGAGCGGTGTCTCCAGGACTTTGATTCACTTGTCGGACCACCTGCAGAGAAGGCCATCTCCAGGACTATTCATCCTGACAGCCACAAACGCCCAGGATTCCCTGTTGTCTCAGCCTCGCATTGACGGCTGCTCGCCTCCTTGATTATAATTAATAACTAGAGACTCTTTGAGCTGACTGTTTTGTATGGCGAATATTATGAACATCGTCTCCGTCTCACCAGGACGGAAGCGCGAGGAGGTCGCAGCGCCTCTTTAGTCGTCGATTGTCGTCGACGCCCCGGGACAGAGAGAAACCAATGGCCCGTACGATCCTCAATCATGCCACAGCCGCAATGATCCTGTCATCACTAGTGTATCGGAACTCTTGTCCGTGAAAAGCTGCCAGGTTTCAAGAATCGCGACGAGGGCTGGTGAGTTATTAGAGGGCCTAACTTGGTGTGAAGGCCCCCGTGTGGGCTGGCAACCGCGCTGGGAGAGATGCCTATCGGAGAATTTTTCACTAGAATTATTCCCCTCTTGTCACCTCTTCAACGTCACAAGTATACCGGAAAGGGAGATAATCCTTGTAATTATCGTGATCTGATATCATTTCTTTCCTTATGAATAGGATATAGGTTTTTTAAAACCTCCCCAGCTCTTGAAACCTACGTGTGTGTGCATGCGCGGGCGAGTGTGTGTGTTTGCGACCTATATCGTTATCAGTGAGCTGTCACAATGCACTGATGTGTCTGCTTATCTGACTGCAGCGTACATACATATATGTCGTCTCCATGTTTTTAGTGTCCATGCCGTGTGGCGTTGGTAGTCATGTCTATCCACAACCTTCTTTCTCGTACTTTCAATCAACTCTAACACAGACGATCCTCCATGCCATGATGTCAAACTGTCCAGCATCTGTTCTCTCTGTTTTCCTGTCCTCCCCTCCAACTTTCCCACCGTCACGATGTACACCAGTTTTCTCCTTCTTGTCACATGACCAAAGAATGTAGATTATTTCTTTCTAATGCGGGTAATCAGTTCTCTTCGTGAATCAGTTTCTCTCTTGACGTCTTCATTACTTTAAAAAAAAAAATCTGTCCAGGCTATTCTCATCCTTTGTCGATGAAACCACATCTCCTCAACCTCCAAATGAGTTTAGTAAATTTACTAACTGTCCATGATTCACATTCGTATAACAATAAAGGTTTTAAATAACTTCCAAGAATTCTCTGTCTCATCTCAATTGACAAAGAAAATTTGTATAAAATATTGTTCATTTTGTAAAATGTTGTCGTCTCCATGTGGGAGGGAATTGTTGGTTATTTTAAAGCCGCACCCTGGCTGTAGTCAGGGGCCTAATGTAACGTATCGGTTGAACGGGGTTTAAGGGTCCTCTCCCCGATGATCTTCATCCGCATGGAGGCACTTTGTGTCACCAGATGTTTATCGTTTGGTGGATGTCCTGGTGGGATTGATTCTCACGCATTCCCTCCGCCTGCCAAGGAGTCATTGCAGAAAAACCAGTGATCAGGAGATAGCAGCTTCAACTTCTTGGCCAATGGGCCATCCCATAGCTGCAGCTTCCCTCTACAACACAGAATATCCATCACTGTCCCTTGGAGGACAAAGTTAAAAGAGGGTTGAACAACTTTATAAGGTACGATATGTGCGGCGTATACTGCATAAGTAAAAGTTAACAGCTATATAAGGTACGGTATGTGCGGCGTATACTGCATGAGTTATGGTTAAACAACTTCATAAGGTACGGTATGTGCGGCGTATACTGCATGAGTTATGGTTAAACAACTTCATAAGGTACGGTATGTGCGGCGTATACTGCATGAGTAATGGTTAAACAACTTCATAAGGTACGGTATGTGCGGCGTATACTTCATGAGCAATGGTTAAACAACTTCATAAGGTACGGTATGTGCGGCGTATACTGCATGAGTAAAAGTTAACAGCTATATAAGGTACGGTAAGTGCGGCGTATACTGCATGAGTTATGGTTAAACAACTTTATAAGGAACGGTATGTGCGGCGTATACTGCATGAGTTATGGTTAAACAACTTTATAAGGAACGGTATGTGCGGCGTATACTGCATGAGTTATGGTTAAACAACTTTATAAGGAACGGTATGTGCCTCGTATACTGTATGAGTAATGGTTTAACAACTTCATAAGGTATGGTATGTGCGGCGTATACTGCAGGAGCAATGGTTAAACAACAATATAAGGTACGGTATGTGCCTCGTATACTGTATGAGTAATGGTTTAACAACTTCATAAGGTATGGTATGTGCGTCGTATACTGTATGAGTAATGGTTTAACAACTTCATAAGGTATGGTATGTGCGTCGTATACTGTATGAGTAATGGTTTAACAACTTCATAAGGTATGGTATGTGTGGCGTATACTGCATGGGCAATGGTTAAACAACATTATAAGGAACGGTATGTGCGTCGTATACTGCAGGAGCCATGGTTAAACAACTTTATAAGGTACGGTATGTGCTGCGTATACTGCATGGATCGTGGATTAGATCAAAAGGTTTCATTAGTAAATATAACAATTAGAAAGAACCAGCTCGCAAAAGCCAACACTCAAATACACAAATAAATATATACATACATAAATTAAATACATAATTTAAATTTAAAAAATGAGGTAAAATGCTGGGCAGTTCCCTATTGGCGGGAGAAAGAATTGTTTCTGGGATCATCGCAGCAGACGTTGAGGGGACGAACAATTCTCCCATGATGTCAAAGTGCCTAAAGTTCTGTTCACACAATGGGCCCATTGTATTTAACTGCTACAGATGCTCCCAGTAGCAATCTGACAGGAAGAGGAAAAGAAGGCCAAACAGCCACTGCAATAGGAAATAAATGCCAGGAAATCCTAAAGAGAGTTAACAACAAAAGTTGACGAGAATACTACGGGTGCTAGAGGGGAAAGAAACGATGACATGTTGGATGTAAGGTCAAATGTGAGAAGTATAAGAAGTATTGGGTAAGTGAAATGGAAGGGGGCACTTGAAGCAGGAATACTGCAGATGTAGAAATCGGGTAAAAGCTGAAAGTAAAGACCATCTGAACTCACGAAACAGACAGGAAATGTATCACAAAACAGTTCAAAACATGTACTACTACCACCACCACCACTACTACTATTACTATTACTACACACACACACACACACAAACACATGCGCACACATACACACACAAGCACTTTCTCTCTCTCACATACACATGCCCACCATATGTCATCGTCTCCGGCCCGCTTTACCCGAACGACCGATCACTCCTACAGAACCTATCCTAGATCTCTCTGCCATTCAAATCTCCTTTGTCTGATGTCTGACATCTCAATTGTAAAACGGTAGCGGGTAACCGTGGCTACATGCTGATAACTACAACTGCCAATTGATCAATTGTCCACTAGTGGGCAGCACTAAATGAGCATCGAACCATTTTTTGGACTGTGTCGCTGACCAGTGAAGTCCTCGCCGCCATCTGTTGACCGTCTGTCCGGCTGTCAGCTCCAACTTGTCAGATTGTGGATCTAGACAAGCTAAACTATGGTAACGCTGGGCAGACTAACCTCCTCGGTCTCGGGCGATTACCCTCCACTTGTTGACAGGCAGCAGGTACCAGACGTTCTGAAGTCATCGGGACAAGACTTCCAAAGAGGCAACACCAGTCGCAGAACTAGCCAGGTATCTTATGTATTCGCCGGCCAAAGTTAAAACATACAACACATCGTGTGTTGAGTTGTACAAGCGGCTCACCACATATTGTACGGTGACACTGTGCAAGACTGGAACATTTGTAAATATCTGTAAAGACCGCAGAATATATATAATGATTCAAACCTATGTAATGATAATTGTAACATATGTAAAGAGGAGAACATATGTAAAGGTTGCAACATCTGTAAAGACTGGAATATAAGAAAGATTAGAACATATGTAAAGGCATTTGAACGTATATTAAGAAGACTGAATTATATGTAAAGAAGACTAGAAAATTTGTAAAGATTGGAATATATACAGATTAGAACACATGTAAAGAGTGAAACATCCACAATGTTTGCAACATAGATAACAACTGGATCAGAGGTAAAGATGGAAAACATATGTAAAGA